AATATTAAATGTGGTCGGGACCAGCAGTTCGCGTAATGGCTATGTCGCTGGACTCCCACGTAGTCGTCCACGGTTCGCATCCCGGACCTGGTGGCTTAAACTCACGCCCAGGATCCCAAGAGGAGAATGGAGGAGAAGGGGTTGAGACATGGCCATCCCCCCGAGGTGGTGATTTCTCGCTTTCTATCTCTCTGTCTGTCTGGCGAGTGCACATGCCCTATAGCAAAACCTCTCCAAAAAAAAAAAATTAAATGTAGCTTTAATTCATATGTTGATAATATATTTTTGCATAACCTCATAAAATACGTAATGCATACATGTACACATGCACATATAAGCATGTATATGTGCACATGATACACATGCACAATTTTTCACATGTGAATGTGCACACACATACACATATATACATCTATACATATATATACATTTGTATATGTGTATTTATGTATATTGTATATATGTATATTGTACATATGTATATGTATATACACACATACACATACCCTGATTTCAGAACTTAAATGAGAATGTTTTAAAGTATTATTTTCTTTCCCTATTTTATTCCTTTTTATTTTTATTTTTAATTTTAATTTTTTTTGAGAGAGATTTGTCCTCTTGGGCATGTGTGCCTGTCAGAGAGACAGAGAGACAGAAAATGAGAAATTACCCCTCAGGGGAGTGGCCATGCCTCAATCCCTCCTCCTCAATCTTCCTCTCAGGATTTTGGGCACGTATGAACATGTGTCCAACATGAGGTCAAGCTGCTAGGTCAGAGACTCAAACTGTAGTCAACCACTTGAGAGTCCAGCAGTTTAACCACTATGCTACCTGTTGGTCACTTCCTTATTATTTTTAACTTTTTCCTCTACCTCAACCACATTTTCCTCAAATATGTATTTACATACAGTATCATGATAACTTGTGAGTAACTTTATTTTTAAATTGCATAACTAAATTATGTAAAATTCTGGATTAAAAGTTTTATTTTTGTTTTAGTCTTTTAACGAACAATCATTAAATGATTAGGATAACTCTAATTCTACTTAATAATTTTATTCTATTAACTTTATAATATGATTTGAAATATATGTAATCAGCCAGGTTTTAGAGAAATCACACTAAAAAAAGATTCAGGACAGGATATTATTTTTCATGCACCACTGTAGGTAGCATATGTCAGGTATGTATGTACATGTGTATATAGTTCAAGATTTTATAATACCACTGAAGTAGTTTCTGAACTATTACTTACGTGAGAAGAAAAATAGTGAGGTGGTAATTTGTGGGCCTACTGTATGTTATAAAAAGCTCACATAGAATATTATTTGTTGAACTTAACTTTGAATATACCGTATATGCTCCATTAGGAAGTTATAGATTTGAAGTTAAGTTTCAAAAATGTTTCATTGTAAATTAATAAAAACTCTTAGAAATTTTTAGGTAAACAATATTTCTTCTCTGGATAAAATTATATTCTCCACTATATTTACTAATCAGTTTCCATATATGTTTAACAATATTCTAAAGAGAAATAGTTGTATGAGAATATAGAGAATATAGAGAATTCTTGGTCTTTCAACATAACATATCACTTTAAAAATCAGAAAGCATAAATCCTAACAAAAGTTTGAGATGCAATAAGCTTCTTTAGTTTGCACAAATTATGGATTATATGGAACTTCTAGTGATCACTATCAAGGGCCAGCACAGTGCCTCGCAGGAGGCATCAAATAAATATTTAGGAAACGTCTGAAACAACTTCCTTTGACCATTTTGCTTCTCTCTTTTTGTGAGTTGCATTTTGATGTTAAGTTTCTTATTTGACTTGATTAACAGTCCTAAAAATTATAAAACACTCTTATTCTAGGCTTCTGAGACTTAGTTTGTTGTACATGTATTATTTAAACCTTGTGTTGAATGCACTTCTCGGTACATAAAAGCAAGATTTTAGCCAATGGTGAATGAACCAAAAGGATGACAAAATACAGCTATTCTAACTACCAATTCATATTCTATTTCTGTTAAATATTGCTGTTGTGTAGTTCAGATTGTTTTAAAAAAGATTTGAATAGATTGTTTGTAAATCTAGAGATACATACCTTTGCACACCTGCATGCATCCACCCATCCAGATGCATGCATACCTATTTAACTGCCTACCTATCTAGATCTAGGTACACGTGTGCTTATCTCCTGCATACATTAGAAGAGTACTAGGAGAAATATTACTTTAAAAACATAAAGATGCAATCCAAACAAAATAAATGTCCTAATGTTTGCCACTGTATGTTAAACGTTTTGTTTATACCATCTCAGATGAAATAGATATAAATGATAAGATAAAAGGGAAAGAAGAATCAGTATGCCAACTGATTCTATGTGATAGTATTTAGGATCACATTACTATGGCTAGTCTTGAATAATAGGACAATTTAAAAGAAAACAGAATCTCATGCTTATGGTTAGAAAGATCTTAAGATTACAGGAACAAAGGCAACACTGGGCAAAACTATGGAGTAGACTAAAGCAATTTTTAGGTCATCTTATTTCTTACTCTTCAAGATTTCTTCTGTCATGGTTGCCATGGTAGCAAGTATATTATTTTTTCCCTTAATTTAACTTTTTAAAGAGATTCCTTTGGAAGACAATCACTATTTTTTTTATCTCTTATGAAAAGCAATGACTCAATTTACCATTTGTTGCATAAAAATATATTACAAACACAGTGATAACTTCAAAACCCTTTACAAAAATAATTATAATAATAATAATAATGATTGGGGAAAATATAGAAAAGATATTGAATGTTGAAGTGGGGAGATTAATGCATTGACTGACATGCATGGCATTCCCTTTTGAAAAAGCAATGTAATACACTGTAATGTTATATGTAATCCAATGTAATATCAAGAAGATTATGATGATAATAAAAAAATTTTTTAAATTTAAAAAACCCTTTATATGTAAGCAAACTGAGTCCTAGAGAAATTATGTAACTTGCCTAAAACAACATATAACTGATTATTGAGAATGTCACGTAATTCGAAATCTGTTCTATCTGATTACAAAGCCACAGTATAGATTAAATCAGTATTTGGTGCTGCTGTATCTGATATGGATTTTAATTTAGTGAAGAACAAAATGGACTGATAAATATATGGTTAAGTGATTTGATACATAACAGAATTTTTTCGGTGATTGACCATCTGATTAACTATTTCGATTTTATTAAATTGTTCAGATTTTTCTGATGAATCAGATATAGATTTGAAATACAAAAGGAAGCTGGATCTGTAGCCTAGTGGTCAATTAGGTGGGCACTGAAAATTGGATATTAGGTTTATCACTGTAGAGGTTGGCTTCAGTGGAGTATTGAAAGAAAAGCATAAAATAAGAAATAAAAGAAATGACGACAGATAAATTGGAAGCAGCATACTTATATAACACTTATTTAGTATTTTATTCTGAAGGAAAGCAAAGAAATGAGACAGTGGCTAGCAAGGAAAGGAGGAGAAAAATAAAAACATGCTATGCTGAAGAAAAGGCTCCAGTAGAGGATGAAAAATTTGAGAATATATTGAGTTGTTGGAAAGTCATGACATATTTTTATGTTTTCTATGTAAAAATGTGTTATGACTTTTCCAGCAACCCAACAGTATGGAAAAAGGTGAATTTTTAGAACAATGTCCTTGAATAGAGAGGAGACAACAGCTACAAGACAGGAAGGAACTACCTTTATAATAGGTGACAAGGCAGATCATGTGGATTCATATGCTGGTAAATTTGGTGGTGGGAGGTTGTACAAGTTCTCAGAAACTTAGGTGGAAAAGACATTAGTTGAGCAAGATTGGGGGAAGGAGTTTCGGATTTTTGCGAAGTGAGGGGCACAATTCTAGGCTTGAGCATTCTCCTCTGCTCTATGTAGAAATATAATTTTCTGTTTGCATCATGACAGGAATGAGATTGTGAAACACTAGTATATTTAGTGAGCACTCATTTTAAAAATCCATGGTGACATGATTTTCCTAGTCTGGCTTTAAAGAATGGTCAGAAGCAGTTAGTGTAACGGCTATGTCACTGGACTCCCACGTAGTCAACTGCGGTTCAAGTCCTGGACCCTGTGGCTTAAACTCAAGCCAGGTGGATGTTTGTGCATGCCCAGGATCCCGAGAGGAGAATGGAGGAGAAGGGATTGCGGCATGACCATCCCTCCTGGGGGGTGATTTCTCGCTTTCTATCTCTCTGTCTCTCTCGGGCTGTCTGGCAAGTGCACGCACCCTATAGCAAAAACCTCTCAAAAATAAATAAATAAATAAAGAATGGTCAGAGTAAGAACATAATAATAAACATGTGCTTGCAATTTGATACAGGACGCAACAAAGATACCCAAGATAGTCTGGGTTGCTGGATATTATTAAGAGGAAAAGTGTTAATATACAGGACAATGTCTTTGCCTTGATGGATATGCACTGTATTCATGCTGGGGGAAAAAAAAAAGGAAAAAAAAATATGTTTTATACACTGTAAAGATGTATGGTGATTAAATAAATAAATTTTAAAAATTAAAAAAGAGAAACAGTACTGCTTCTTAGAGTAAAACATTGGCATAATCGTGTGCTCAATAATTTTCATTGCTATTTTCTAACTAGAAAAAAATACATTTAAAAATAAATTATCTACAAAGAAAGCCAAACATATAAAACATATCAAAGTGGAATTTCTTTGAGTCAGAGGTTTAAAAAAAATCAGAAAATTACTTGCTCTGAATCCATTCTAGAGTTACAGTGGAGGCATCTTGATGTAACTCTTGAGCCTGGGTAAAACCTACAAACATGGCTTCCAAAACATAGGTAGAAAACTCAAAAGAAAATGGTTCAGAGTTGAAAATTACTGGTATTTGAAGTAGTTGGGGAAGATCTGCTCAGTATTCAGGGAAATTGACCTAACAGAATAGAATGTGCCCTGACTCTCATTTTAATGCTTAATTTTTTCCCCTAGGTTGCAACATTTTGGCTGAAACATCTCAAAAACCTCAGCGCATTGCGGATAAACAGGACTACCTAGCAAAAAATTTAAAGACATTTTTATTTAAAGAAAGAGAGGAAAGTTATATTCCACAAGGAAATAGAGTTGATGCAAATAAAAATCCATGTATATAGTGAGATTAAGCCATTTCAGGAAAATGAAAAGAAAACTAGCTGTAAGGTAATGGGGAGGACACATTTAAAAAGTTGGGGTTTTTTTGTTGTTGTTTTGTTTTATTTTGTTTTTTTTCCCCATTCCTTTTAGAAAGGAAAACAAGATAGTTACTATGCTCTTCTATAACTATCTTGGGGTAAAAAAGAAGTTGCAGTAAAGAGCAGGCATGATAATGAACTTACAATTCCATCCCATCCATTTTAATCAAATGGGATATTAGCCTTCCAGTCAACACTAAGTGGAAGTGTGAATAGCGAAGCAATCTTGTGGTGTCCCCCAAGAGGATGTTCTAGTTTATTTAGAGATGTGAAAGTTGCAGACGGAATTCACAGAAGTGAAAATAGAGATACTCAACAGGTATGGAACTAATTTAAAAAGTGGATGAAAAAGAATAAGTATCATAAGAAATGCAAACTAGTATTAATAAATGTTCATTAAAATGAACAATTTTAATGACTTAAAATGTATCAGTAACCTCATGCATCTACTACATAGAACTGGGACACTGACTTTTCTCTCTGAGGCTAAAAGATGTATTATTACTTTAGAAACGGAAGCAATTAAACGATCTCGCCAAGATGTCAGATTAACTTACCTTTACAGTACAAGGCTCCCACAACATTCTGTTTTTAGACTGTTTCTGTAGTGTGGCCTTGACCCCATGGGGTGCAAGAATGGTCCCCAAAATCAGACGTTTGAAAGAAATAAATGTCTTTTTTTTTTTAGAATTATTTATTTAATTTTATTTTGATTTGACTCAGAGAGAGGGAGAGGAAAGAGAGAGAGGGAAAGTGAGCCACCAGGTCAGTGGACCGGAACTGTAGTAGGTCATGTGGGAGTGTCCAGCGCCTTAAGTACCATGCCACCTGCTGGTCCCTAGAAATAAATGTCTTAATAATGAAGGCAAGTCTCTGAAACTTTGCATTAAAAAAAAAATAATCAATAAAAAAAGAGAGTGAATTAATTCATTTTTAAATTTTCTCCCATACTAGAAATATGTTAGCTTTCTACAAGGAGATTTTATTTTACTCATTGTAATCTCGGTGCTTAGAACACTGTCTCACATAGGTAGTAATTCAATAAATATTTGCTGAGAGAATGAATACCAGTTAGCATATACAAGTCTCAGTATCAACACCATTCCCTGACTGGTGATTAAAATGTCCACTTTAAACAAGGATGGTTGAATTATAGATTTATATAGATAGGATGCCCTACAATGTTTATTGACTTTTTTTGGGGAAAAAAAAATGACAGCTGAACCTGCAGTGCTGTGGTTAAGGGGCATGCATTAGGAAGTCAATCCCACATGGCTAACCTTGGTTCAAATCCTGCCCAGTGACTTGCAAAACATTCCTAGAACATGCGCATGCAAGCTCCAAATACAGACAGAATGAAAGAAAGGAGTAAAAAGGATTGTGGAAAGACAATGTCCCATGGGGGATTTACTTTCTCTGTCTCTGACTCTCTCTCTCTCTTCGGACTCCTCATGCCCTCTGGCAGTAAAAACAAACAAACAAACAAAAAAAAAAAACAGTTACCCTCTATTACAGATAAAGTATTATAGTTTTTGGTGAAAATAAAAACAACAACATGGTAATGAGAACACACTATAGGGGTTAAAGAATTTTTTTTGTTAACTTCACCTAGCCAGTACTCAGTAGGGGTCGTAAGGGAAGGAGGAAAAACCAAAAAATTGTTAGGCAGCATTATGTTCTCCACTCATATTTAAAATAGGCTAAAGCACATTTTTAAAAAAATAGATAAAATTATTAAAAAGCGTATAAGTAAAAAAAAAAAACCTTGGTGGAGTTAAAATTCAGTTTTCAGGTTTATCGAAAAGATGGATATCCAACTTTGAATTTTTTATTTTTCATCAATCACATTATTTAGCTTACAAAGTGAAGCTAAATAATGTGTACTTTCCAACATGTGTACATTTCTCACCAGTCCAATTCACCATACTAGAAAGTTATCTTCAATAGATAATAATGCATTTCTTTGTCCCATAAACGGAATCTGTGCACATACATATGTGAGTTTGTGTGTGTGTGTGTGAGTGTATGAAATGGGAGACAGAAAAGGGAAATCTTGCATTCTAAATAAGTCAGTTTAGTAGCGTAATAACCAATCCCTGTGAGACTACAATGTTGTAATTATAAAATATAACATGTAGGAACCAGCAGATAGTGTAATGGCTATGTCACTGGACTCCCACGTAGTCGACCACGGTTTGCATCCCGGACCTGGTGGCTTAGAACTCACGCCAGGCGCGCGCGTGTGTGTGTGTGCCTAAGATCTCAAGAGGAGAATGGAGGACAAGGGATTGCGGTGTGACCATTCCCCCTGGGGGGTGATTTCTCGCTTTCTGTCTCTATGTCTCTCTCTGTCTGTCTGGCGAGCACACGCGCCCTAGAGCGAAAACCTCTCAAAAAAAAAAAAAATACAACATGTAAATTACCATAAAAGAATGACTAATTTTTATAACAAAGCATTCAGCACTAGTGAGATAATACCCCCTTCTCATATAATGCCAGATCACACTGCTTACATTTTTAAAAGGCTTAACTCTGTATTTCTTACATTAGAATTATTTATATACTCAGTCCTTCAGTTCACTCATAGTTCTTTTTTAAAGAATTTTATTTAACTTTATTTATTATTATTATTTTTTAATATTTCCAGAGAGAGAAACATAGAGTGAGAGAACGTGAGAAAGCATGCCTCCAGGTCCAGGACTCAAACTACTGTCAGCCATGTGGGAGTCCAGCACCCTTAACCACCATGCCACCTGCCAGGCCAAATCACAGTTTTTTAAAAAATTATGGATAATGTCTTATTAATCTTTCGCACTAATATATTGATAGTTGAATCATAAAATGTGGAAGACAAATCTTAGTTTCCACATTTTAAAAAAATGGCCTGTGAGAATAAGAACCCTTATTCATATCTATAGTTTCTACGTCTAAAAGGAGTTAAAATAACATCTATTTCATGATTATAAAGACTCGAAATTTTTATATTGTGATAAAGAACCATAAACATCAGGATATACAGAGTGTGAGGTAGTGATGACTACTAGTTTTTAAGAAAATACAAAAAGATAATTAAACAATTATATTTCAACTTAGATAAATCAGAATGCCAGGAAAAAAAATTTTTTGAGAGGTTTTTGCTATAGGGTGCATGCGCTCTCCAGAAAGACAGACAGAGAGACAGAAAGAAATC